CCTTTACATCCCAGGCTTCATTTGACTTGTTATNTATGAAAAAAATGCTATTGTACATATTGGAATATTATTTTATCGAAGTTTTGCTTAAATGTATTGTTTTTCAATTTTTGTTGTTCTCACTCTTTAAAAATAAAATGCACTCTTTAGAAACATAAAACCTTCATTGAGGAGGTAAGATAAACTTAATTATCAATTTTCATTAAAATCGGTGCTGCCCGAAAGAATTTGGAGAGGTTATTACTACCGTCACTGGACTATAAATGAGATTTTTTACTGAATAGTATTGAATTTAAATTTTATTTCGATTTTAATTATAATTCTAATATTATTTTAAAATAAATTACTAGAGAAAGATTTTAACTGCGGAAAATAGTAAATCGTTAAAAATATTCGTGGGTAGTGAAAATTTCGTTTACAGGAAGATACAGGACACGCAAGGGAACAATATTTTTAAACAAATTAAATTACTCAACCCTTTCTTGCTGTATTTACTAATAAATAATAAAAACACAGTAGGTACTTAAAGTCTATATATGAATGTACTTGTACAATATCATTGTGACGCTAATTTTGATCAATTATAAAAAAATACTTACCACCGTTTAGCCTTTTGTGAAAAGTCGATCAATTACAAGATGGGATTGATAAACTGAAAAAAGAAATCGTAAATGAATACTTTTTTCTTATTGCACGTCTATGACCTGATTAAACTTTTCTTTATAAAAATGGCACGACGGTACTTAAAGGTTCGCCATCTCTGGTCTAGAAGATGGTGGTTTCCGGCTCTGAATTATTTCGGGCAAAACCGAATTGAGGTGAAATTGGGACAGTAAGTAGGGAAAAGCCTAAGGATTAGAAGTTATACAGTGTCGATGTGTGCTTCTGCCGTAGGGGTAGTTGCCACTCCTTCTAGGAGATCAAAATTGGCATCCTTAAAATAACCGCAGAAATCGATAGCGGAATGAATTCTAAGCAAAAATAGTGGTGTACATATTTTTACACAAATCAATCCTTTGCCAGTTATTCGCAATTGAAATTGTTGTTTCGATACGGTTTTTCACGAATAACATAAGAACCGTGCGTTTTTATAAAAAAAAACTACTGAAGCAAAAATGAAGCTTTTCAAATAGATTACTTTTCCTTTTGCTTCTGTACATTAAACAGAATCGTTAAATATGATTGTTTGATAGCCGAAAACTGAATTCGAACCTTTCGACATTAAATAACAGAGAAACGACGAATTTTTGGAGAAAATCTCAAACATACCATGTAATATACAAAGAAATGCAAGTGTACAAAACTGTAAGTTTCTTTTGCACAATATTTCTGTTAATCATTTACTTTACTGCGATGAATATTACTTGAGATATCGTCTTTGTAAATTTGTATATTAGTAAGGGGACTACGTTTTCCGAGCCACTTAAACTTTTATATATCAAAACATAAGGGTTCAAAACAGTTGAAACTTACTGGTCTTGTAATTCCTGAAATTATCTGCAAACTGTAAATTGAGTTCTTGTGTGATAAATCTCTAAAATTGAGGAAGTTACAGGTAAAAAACTGATTGTGCTTTTACACGTTTCTTATAAGGTAAAAGACCCAGTTATTGAGACTGTCCCAGTTTCTGACAATTTTAGGTTTATGTTGAATTAAAACAAAAAAAAGATCTTAAGTGGGTTAATAAATTTTTTAAAAATTAAAATAAATTTATTCTGTACTTAATTAATGACAAGCACAATAATAAAAAATAAGAAAACTTAATAAAAAAAATCTTTAAGTGTGGAGTGACTGCGGAAGCCATTTTTTAGTTATGGTCTAAGCAAATTACGGAAGCGCGTTCGACGATTCAATCAGTGAAATAATCATTATATAAGTATAAAAATATAATAAAATATATATAAATTGTTTAATAATGAACTATTATTTAGTCTAAAAAATCAATATATCATATTAAATAAAGCTTTATTAATAAAATATAAGTGTCAATAACTAGGCTCAATTTTATAGGTATGTCGCAGTTATTGACACTCACATTCTTACCTCTTACTCAGGAGGTTATTTGTTTGTTGACATCCATAAAATGTTTCAAAATTTGTATTTATTATGATTATTATGATTTGATATACTATTTTCTGTAATTACAGCGATAAATATTCATTTAATATTTTTGTGAATAAACTAAACATTATATTCACTGTTATAAATAATTCTTTCAAATACGAAAATGATTGTTGTAAAAGAAATTTCATCTTTGTTAGTGTTAAAATGATTATTACTATGATAATTTTTACTTTCAATTGAATTATAAATTTTATTGATGATACAAATACATATTTTTGTTTGTTATTTTCAGGAGTTAATTATTTTTGTTAAAAATAACAATATCTTACTTATAATAAATATTTAATTTATCTTTAATGAATACTTAATTACTTATAGTTTATTTAAACTTGATAATACATAATTTAACCGAGAGAGAATCATTACCAAATATGAGTGTCAGAAACTAGGCCGATGGCAGTGTCAGAAACTACAACACAAGAAATTTTAAGTGTCAGAAACTGGGTCTTCAAACATCACTTTTTAAATCATTAATTAAAATAACTAATTCGCTTCAAATAATTATATCGCGTATATGAGTTTTTCTAGAAACTCTGAACTTGTTTATAGTATAAAAATTATTTATTCTAATTAAATATTATTTTAGTTATCGTAATATAATCTCAGCTGTCACTCTTAGAGTGTCAGAAACTGGGCCTTTTACCTTACGTAGAGAAAAGTCTTGTAAAAATTACCATGCTGCCTCATAATGTAGGTGCCTTGACTAACAATGGAAAAATCACCATTAAAAATTCCTGTGCTTCCTAGGTTCTCTTACAAAAATTATTGGATTAATATTGAATTTTATCAATGCATGCATCTCGCACCCACTTTACAGTGACCAGCATGGTAATTTTTCTATCCGTGTAATAAGGAGTACTTCTTAAAGGTTCAAAAGTTCCAATAAAATATTATTGACTAAGAGAGGATTTTAATTCATCATAAATGCACCATTAAAAACGGTTGAAAGTAATGTTTTTGTGGGTTTCGCCAATGGGGCTGGTTTTTAAAGGTTTAAACATTCAAATTACTCCTAACTTACATACCATATGAAAAAAATGCTATTGTACATATTGGAATATTATTTTATAGAAGTTTTGCTTAAATGTATTGTTTTTCAATTTTTGTTGTTCTCACTCTTTAAAAATAAAATGCACTCTTTAGAAACATAAAACCTTCATTGAGGAGGTAAGATAAACTTAATTATCAATTTTCATTAAAATCGGTGCTGCCCGAAAGAATTCGGAGAGGTTATTACTACCGTCACTGGACTATAAATGAGATTTTTTACTGAATAGTATTGAATTTAAATTTTATTTCGATTTTAATTATAATTCTAATATTATTTTAAAATAAATTACTAGAGAAAGATTTTAACTGCGGAAAATAGTAAATCGTTAAAAATATTCGTGGGTAGTGAAAATTTCGTTTACAGGAAGATACAGGACACGCAAGGGAACAATTTTTTTAAACAAATTAAATTACTCAACCCTTTCTTGCTGTATTTACTAATAAATAATAAAAACACAGTAGGTACTTAAAGTCTATATATGAATGTACTTGTACAATATCATTGTGACGCTAATTTTGATCAATTATAAAAAAATACTTACCACCGTTTAGCCTTTTGTGAAAAGTCGATCAATTACAAGATGGGATTGATAAACTGAAAAAAGAAATCGTAAATGAATACTTTTTTCTTATTTTTGATGTGGTTACCACTAATCGCATTTAGACAAAACAGTTTTTTTAACAAAATATTTGCAAATGAGAAAGATTAAGGTACTTGTTTCCATAAACAAACAAACCATTATTAATATTAATGCTGAATGTGTACGGTTGCTGCAACCGCCGTTGTCAAATTCGTTCCCATATTAGGAGACTAAGTCAAGAAGTAGGAAAATTCGCTCCTATGGTATTGCCAAGTTGGTACATCTAAAATTATTTATTTAAAACTGCAAGCCAACACCTACTACTGGGTTAGTAGGCCATTTAGCTACCGTTTAAATAGTGGCATCAATAATAATTGGAGAGACAAATCCAAAATCGCCAAGATGCAAATAACGCAGGATAGTAAGGTGGCTTGCCGTTTTCACTCACCCTCTAATAGTTTCCTGCTGTTTTCTACGTTTTCTAATTATATTATAAGGTAATTAAACTATTATCTGAGTAAATAAAAAAATTAATTGTTTTTATCCATTAGCTAACATGAAATTGTTAAATAATTTGTCTGCATTCTTTTTTCGGATTGAGGTAAATTGTCATTAATGGGAGCGAATTTGGTACTGCCCTACAATCTACATGTGTTTAGTCCATAATTGTTTAACTATGTTTCATTTTTGCTTTTTGTATATATTTCATTAAATAGTTATGGATTAAATACATGTAATTTGAAGACAACTTAATGAGATATTTAGAATCATTTTTAAGAATAACTCATGTACGTACCTAGCAACTGTTACTCTTAAATCTTATCACCTTATCATAAGTGTTTATTTTCTTTATAAAAAATTAGGAAACAATATTCTAATTGTAAGAGAAATTTACCTGTTAAAGNATAGCTGTTTGTTTAATTTTTGTTGTTTTTATATTTCATCATTAAATAGTTATGAATTAAATACATGTAGTTTGAAGACAACTTACTTTTACTCTTAAATCTTATCAACTTATGATAAGTGTTTATTTTCTTTATAAAAAATTAGGAAACAATATTCTAATTGTAAGAGAAATTTACCTATTAAAGAATGGAAAACTTTCGATCTCCATAATATACGCATGAAAGGTACGCTTTAGCCTGTTATTTTGTCGTCGTTTCATAAAAAATCAATATTGAATTCGGTTATCTATCTTTTCGATAGGTAAATGGTGATTATGCGGTGATATCGCCAAGAACTCTGCATTACTTTAGACCTCAATATATTGCCACAAAATCTGTAGAATAATGAGTACCATGGTTTCTGTCGTAAATTAAAAAATAAAATTATGGTAAGATGTAATACATTACTATAACTAAAACTATGAGAAAGGCAAACCTTTTAAAAGATAATTATTATCTAATATACGTATCTATAACTAATTTGCAGACATAATAACATTGATTAGATTAGCTATATAAAAGTGTGGTTTTACACACCTGTATTAATATTAGTATTTTTAGGAAAGGGAAGGTACGTAACTGACTAATTAAATTTTTTTCCTCAAAAGTGAAATGATTTTGAAAGAGTATATTGGATATATACTTCTTCTCACATTCACATATATAGTCGTTTACTTTAGTTACATTCGAAATGAAGAAGATGGTATACAGAAGCCAGACGTACACACGCAAATAACGTACCAACAAGCGACCGTTGATAATGTTTCAAAAGTGTCGAGTCTACAAGAGAATAAAACACAATTAATCAAATATATTTTGTATTGGACAAAAATGTTTGATCGTGAAGACTTTTATTACGGTTTAGGATACGAACCGTTTCAAAATTGTGAATACAAGAACTGTTTTACCACATCAAATAAAAATCAAATGGACATCAGAGATTTTAACGCACTTGTGTTTCACGGTCCATTATACGACTTTAAAGAAAATGGTAAGCCATGGGCACGATCTAACCATCAACGGTATGTTTTTGCGAATTTAGAATCACCAGAAACTTATAACACAAATCTTAATTATGCAAATGGATTTTACAACTGGACAATGACTTACAGGTTCGTAATACATATTTTATATAATTTCGTAATACGCTAAATAAAGTTTCTATAGTCGCTTCAGTTTAAATTGTAAATCATTTACTTTATTATTTATTACTGGAACAATAAATCTACTAACCCGTATATCTACCACAAGGAAGAGAATGATGACCTTATCTTTCTTGACTAGTAGCAGGTAACAAACACTGTTTTTTTTTGTGTATCTTTCTCTATTTAAACAGTTTGTAGAGTGTCCCTTTCTTTTATTACTTATCAACGCTATAGTAACTTATTTAAATTTCATGAAACAATCGGTAGTATAGTAATAAAAGAGACAGAAACTGTTTAAATAGAATGACAGATAAGAAGAATAATAAAGTAAAAGATTTACTATTTTAACTTTATAATCCAAAACCGGCAAAATTAAACTGAAGCGACAATAAAATGTCTGCTACCGGTAACCGTTTAATAAAAAGGGATATTCGGTTACTAGTGGTAATTTAAGGAAAAATTCTATTCTACCACATGTTATTAGCAAGTAAGTAATGGTAGACTAACAAAGAAGCAATTCTGACACATGTTAGTAGTTGTTGGAACGTGTTATTTGTTGCAATGTGCTTAAATTGTTGGGCCAAAATTGGGGTTGGGGGTAAATCTCCTAATTCGATTTTTCTAACACATTTTTCACAGTACTGAAGTAATTCGTAGGGCATAGAGTTACTGAGAGGAGAAACTACCTCCATTCCCTCTTTTGAATCAACCACTGTTTTTAGCACATATTGTACATAATTTGCATCTTTTGACCTACGGATAACCTGTTCTCATGATAGACTTGTTCACAAAATTGTCTAAAAGCCATGATTTTGATGGATCCCAGTGTTAATTTAAAAAAAATTAAATATTTTCAGGAATTTCGCTATTGCGTAAGACTATTGGCATACAAGAAAACTTCACCCAATGTTTTACGTTTTGAAGTATTTTTATTACAATTACAAGAATACCCTTTCTATTACAATTATCTACCTCTTTTGAAGAGTATTAATCCATTTTAATTTTCTATTATTATTAATTAGCATTAACATACTCATGTTGTTAATAGTTAGCAAAATATAATATACGAAATGTTTAGTTGATTTAGTTACGTTAATTTTTTTATGTTGATAATGTAGTATAAATACTCACTATAATTGACAACATCCTCATGAAATTAGGCAAGGTACCAATCAAAACTTTTTGATGATAATAATAAGATACATTTTAAGACAAAAAATAATATAATGGAACCACCTTTTGAAAAGCTGTTTCAATATTTGACTGGCCTGTAAAATCCTTTGAAATTGTATAATTATGTGAATATTTCTAAAATAAAATATATGAAGTACAATCTATTAAGGGAAAATTAGCTTTTAAAACCAGAATGTTTAATTATCTTAAAAATATTTATTTTCATAAGAAAAGAAAACCATAAAAGCAATGCATTGGAAAGGTTTATTTCTTAACATACCTAATTAAAAGTAGATTGATACATTCCAAAATATGTTATGAGTGAAAAGTTAATAACCAANTATTTGTTTTCGTAAGAAAGAAAATTACCCAACCTAAAAGCTATGCGTTGGTAAGGTTTATTTCCTAACATACCTAATTAAAAGTAGATTGATACATTCCAAAATATGTTATGAGTGAAAAGTTAATAACCAAGTTTTATTTTATGTAGGATGGACTGAGATATACCAAATCCTTATGGTTTTTACGTTAAATCAAAAAGAAAAGTTGATGTCCCTTCTAAAGAAGATTTGAAAAAAAGAAAGAAATTAGTGGCTTGGTTTGTATCCAGCTGTGACGTTTCTAGTAAAAGAGGAAAATTAGTAAGCAAGATAATGAAATATACAAAAGTCGATATTTATGGAAAATGTGGTGATCTATCATGTCAGAAAAATGATAACGAATGCTATCAATTGTTAGAGAACAATTATAAGTTCTACTTGTCATTTGAAAACTCTTATTGCAAGGATTATGTAACAGAGAAATTGTTCAATATTTACAACATTTCTGTTATTCCGGTAGTTTATGGAAGGGCAGATTACAAGAAAATTGCACCCCCTCATTCGTACATAAATGTGGAAGACTTCCCAAGTGTAGAAGAATTAGTAAAATATTTAAAATATTTGGACGAAAACGACGACAAATATTTAGAGTATTTTCAATGGAAGTCGGACTATTACGTTGTTTCATCTTTTAAGTATTTTATTTGTGATTTGTGTAAAAAACTAAACACCGATTTTACTCCTAAAACTTACAAGAACATTGAGAAGTGGTGGAAAGGTGCAGAAGACGACCCTTCATGTTATACTAATATAGATCTCCCTCGAATAGTTATAGACGATTAAATTTAGATATGCTAATATATCATCATCATTATAAGGTCGTCAGTCCTAAGACTGGTAGGACACGCACCTCCACTCTTTCCTATCCTAAGCTTTCCCTAAAACTAGAACATCTCACATCCTTAACTATTTGCGAACAGTAATCTACTCTAGGTCTATATCTACCCCTTCTAACTTCCGTTTCTGCCTCTAATATGTCTCTGACTAGACCTTCATGCCTGAGAAGGTGTCCTACTAACCTATCTCGCCTATTTCTTATTGATTTCCATACAATCCTCTGTTCTCCTACACTTTCTAATACCTCTTCATTTCTAACCTTCTCTATCCACGGTATCATCATTCGCCACATTTCGAACGCTTCTAAATGTTTCTTTTCCGCCGCGCCCACTATCCGTGTTTCGCACCCGTACAGCGCCGTGTTCCAAACATACAACTTTTTCCGAATTTCTAAATTAACCGTTCGCGAGCATAGAAGTGACTTCTGTGTATTGAAGGCGACTCGATAAACGTGAGAATGTAATAATATATAATAATTTATATATGTGTATATATAGGATAGTAACTATATTATATAATTGAAAAGCTTTACTTTTGACCAAAGAATAATGATTAATTTTTATGTAGGTATTTTATTTATTGCTATTGTTTGGTCTATAGGTAGTGTTGTATAATTGTAAGAATGTAAGTACATAATTATTTATGAAGAAACTTTGTTCTACACGATCTAATCAAAGGTATAATAAGTTCCTGGCGCCATACATGAATTAAGTGGAATGATTTAGCTAATGACTTATGTTGAACTAATTTATATCAAAATCACTTTTTTGTATAGAATCTGAAAGTGTAACGTTTTATTCATAATATATTTTTTTCTTAGTCTGTGTATACATATTTTCGAAAATGTTGAATTTATTTCATTTTCATTTCTTTCCTTGATGTTTAGCGATGAAATGAAGAATTCAGAACTCATTTAGGTTAAAAACAGCACTTATTGTCACTAAGCCAATGTTTCGTCAATGAATTATGATTTTCTTCAAAGTAATTTAACAGAGAGGGAAGTAATCTTCTTATACACATTAGGTACCACGAGCAATTGTAAATTAAATCGTAAGGTAATAAAACTGTAAATCTTTTACATTCAGAATTGTATAATTAATTTAATTTAGTTTAAAACACATTCAATAAAATTAGTTTTAATATGTCGCATGTTGCGTTCTTGTGTTATGTTTTAAATCAAATTAAAATAATTCTGCAAGTCTGGTTGAAGGTAAAGTAAAATAGTTTTCAATGCTTAGAGTTTAGCAAGAATAAGGTTGCTTGATAGTTCCAGTTTTATTGATTTTTCAATTACCTTGAAGAAGTACACAATATTTGGACGAAATATCGGTTTATTGGAAATAAATACTGTTTTTAACATGAATTAGTTTCGAATAAGTCATTTCAAAGTTTAATTCATTTTTAATTCATTGATTTTCTCAGTTCAGAAAAAAACGGAATTTTCAGAAGATCACTTTAGACTCGCTGACATATTGACACACCAAAAACAGTGTACTTCAAATGTGCTGAATCAAAATACAATTTACTTTATCGAATTACGGCATGTCGTAAGCTACCATTTATTTCTTTTGCTCCTGACTGAAGTATTTCAAATGTAGGGGAATTTGCCCCAAGAGTACCCATTTAATTAGGTCGTCGTCGTTTTGATTAACTGTTTCATTATAGGAAAACAAAAATATGGAATCTGTTAACATATAATCAACGTTTAAAAAAATTATTCATAATCATCTTCATTTCTATCACACAAGGTCGTCATTACTAAGACTGGTTGGACTTAAATCTTTTTAAAAAAATGTTTTGCACATCACTAGTCCTACTAATATACTTAATGAAAGCAATACTCAACGGGACACTTCGACTTAAAATTGACCATTTTCAAGAGTAATCTATGTAACGTAACCAACGTTAGATAATCTTAAATGCTATAATGATTGTTTATTTTATTTTGCTGTAGGCTATTATTTTATAGTGTTTTCATAAATAATTGATATTGATTTACTTCACTTTTAGATATATCGCTTGCTAGTATATTAAAAACCTAAATTTTGGTAAGATGTTGATTTTTTTGTAATTAAAACTACGATAAAGGCTAATCTTTTAGAAGATAATCATTACCGATTACATATGATTATTAATTGGGAGACATTGATTAGATTAGCTACATATATAAAAGTGCGGCATTGCAAAAGTATGTTAATATTGGTATTAGTATTTTTTAAGTAATTAAATTTTTTCCTCAAAATAAAAANGCTAATCTTTTAGAAGATAATCATTACCGATTACATATGATTATTAATTGGGAGACATTGATTAGATTAGCTACATATATAAAAGTGCGGCATTGCAAAAGTATGTTAATATTGGTATTAGTATTTTTTAAGTAATTAAATTTTTTCCTCAAAATAAAAATGAATTTCAAAGGGTACATTGGATATATATTTCTTCTCACATTTACTTATATAGTCATTTACTTTATTTACATTCGAAACGAAGAGGATGGTATACAGAAGCCAAATGCATATGCGAAAATACTAAACAAACAAGTGACTGTTGATAATGTTTCAAAAGTGTCGAGTATACAACAGAATAAAACAAAATTAACCAAATATATTTTGTATTGGACAAAGATGTTTGGTCGTGAAGACTTTTATTACGGTTTAGGATACGAACCGTTTCAAAAATGTGAATATAAGAACTGTTTTACTACATCAAATAAAAATTATATGGATATCAGAAATTATAACGCAATTATGTTTCACGGTCCGTTATACGACTTTAAAAAGAATGGTAAGCCATCGGCACGATCTGACCACCAACGATATGTTTTTGNGTTTTACTACATCAAATAAAAATTATATGGATATCAGAAATTATAACGCAATTATGTTTCACGGTCCGTTATACGACTTTAAAAAGAATGGTAAGCCATCGGCACGATCTGACCACCAACGATATGTTTTTGCGAATTTAGAATCACCAGGAAATTTTAATAAAAACCTTAACTATGCAAATGGATTTTACAACTGGACAATGACTTACAGGTTAGTACTGCATATTATATATAAATTTAAAAAGTTAGGACTTCCATAAATTTTTAATATTAAGACACTGAAAATAGGGAAGGTAGGAGACGCCTTAACTTAGAAACGCGTGATAGGCTAGGTACAAGGACAAACGAAATACTAAAGGCGACGAATGACAGGGACATAGAGAAGAGACAGAATAGAACTGCATTAAAATGTGTCTAAAGTCAGCAGCTACAGATACGACGAAAAACGACAACAAAACGAAATAGGAAACCCTGGATAATTATGAGATTGTAGGATTACAGGCAACTGATGAGAATACCGTGAATAGAGGTTAGAAATGAAGAGATATTAGAAAGAATAGAGGAATAAAAGATTCTATAGAATTCAATAAAAAATCGGCGAGATAGGTTGGGAGGACACCTTCTCAGGCATGAAGATCTAGTCAGAGGCATATTAGAGGCAGAAACGGGAGTTAGGAGGGGTAGAGGTAGATCAAAATTAAATTATTGTTCGCAAAAGTTAAGGATGTAAGATGTTCTACTTTTAGGGACTTACGACCTTATGATGATGAAGACACTGCATAACAATATTTTCTCATCTATAAGACCGTCTTTTTTGTAACAACTGTATGTATTATAGTGATGTGTACATCTTCTATTTTATTTAATGTCATCTCCTTATAAATGTTTACGTGTATCTAAAATATTCCGTTAATGAAATAGTCATCAATAGTACGTACTAGGTACTCGGTGCATAATACAAGTACATATATACTTCATTTACTTTCTCTAGCGATGCGCCACTTCCAATGTCTTGGATGCGCGCTGGCAAACTCGTAGGTAGGGAGAAGAAAGCTCATTATACTCTCGAGTCTTGTTCATTAAACATACTTTTACATACAGTACCTGCCAAAAGTTTTGTTCAATCATGAATAGTAGTGCGAGTCGAAAACATGCGTTAAAGCTTTTAGTATGTCTTCAAATATAAATAAACATCTCGTTGATATTTTCAGTAGTAAATGGTACCAATAACAGCACATTTGAGCAATGCAATTTTAGTGGATAAAATGCTCAATTTTTCCGTGCAGTACTGTACGGATTATACGCTTCTCATCGGCTAAGAGTTTGGCCGACAGTTGTCTCCTTCCTTTTCTGGCCTAGTGCTGTTCTTTTCTACTTTGCGCCGGTCAAACTGAAGGTCACATCGCTACAGAAAGTAAACGAAGTATAGTTATAAACATGTATTAAAACAGACACTGAAGATTTAAATATACTTCTACATGCACCTATTAGCAATTTTTACTTTTTTTCAGGATGGATTCCGACATTCCGAATCCTTACGGTTTTTATGTTAAATCAAAGATAAATTACACTGCACCTTCCAGAGATCAATTGAAATCAAAAAAAAGTTTAATCGCTTGGTTTGTGTCACATTGCAAAGCTTCTAGCAAACGAGCAGAATTGGTGAAGAGCATAATGCAATATACACCAGTCGATATATATGGCCACTGCGGCACTTTAAACTGCAGTCGAAAGAATGGGCACTGTTATACACTTCTTGAAAACAATTATAAATTTTACTTATCCTTTGAAAATTCATACTGCAAAGATTATGTGACGGAAAAATTTTTTAACATACATAATATTTCAGTTGTTCCAGTAGTTTATGGAAGGGCGAACTACAAAGAAATTGCACCACCTCATTCGTTTATAAACATCGAAGATTTTTCATCCGTAAAAGAACTGGTAAGTTATTTGAAACATTTGGACAGGAACGATGACGAATATTTAGAGTATTTTAAGTGGAAAACAGACTACTATGTTGTCTCGTCTTTTACATACTTTATATGTGATTTGTGTAAAAAACTGAACATCGACTTTACACCTAAAACATATCCTAACATACAAAAGTGGTGGAAGGGTGAAAAAGATACTGTTATGTGTTATAATAATGATGCTTTACCCCAAATTGTTTTGGAAAATTCGAATAAAAGTATAGTTGATAAAATTCAAAAAAATACAACAGTGTTAAACTAATAAATGAAAATTAAAAAATAAAAATTTTAAATCTAGAAAACGGTTTTAAATTCCACACGTTACTAAATTTATCTACGCATCTTCAGTTGTATGTGAAAAGTATTTTTAAGAAACAGAAAGAAATATAAATTGTAATTTGTAGATTTGTATTTATTTGCACCATACTTAATTCTACGTTTTATTTGTATCTCTGATTAATTTTGAAATCAATTTTTTATGGAACACTATGAGAGTTTTGGGATTGAAAGTAAACTCGTCGAGCTGATAAAATCTGTTAACTGAGAGACAGAAAAGTTACATGAAAGAACCGTATAATCATGATCTGTTGTACTCATCGGTTTACCTACTTTATAAGTCATAAACCGTAGAAATCTATGCCTAATACCTTCAGCGACACAATCCTGAATAACTGTGATGATCTCCATACAACTGAGCAATAAGTTAGTAGAGGAAAGATGTTTGAAAAGTATAATATTATAAAAGACAAAAGACATAACTCTAATAAACGACCTTGTAAACTGCTTCTTATTAACTTCTTAGTTTCTTGGAATAAAATTTGCGTTTATGATGGCAAACCGCAAGGATGTGTGGAAAATAACACCAAGGTCCTTAACAAGACCTTCAGATTTTAAAGTAAGACGATTGATGTAATAATAATATTGGACACCATACATAGATCTGACAACATTATTACTAAAGGAAATATAAACACATTTGTCAATATTGAAAGGAATTACATTACACCTACTCCAACGGGTCAAACCATCAAGACCATTTTGTACTAGAGCTAAGTCACTATAAAAATAAAAAGAAACTAAAAAAGTTTAATATCATCAGAAAAAAATTCACTGTTCAGAACCTCCCGCTAGATATAATTTATTATCATAAGGGCGTCGTCTTAAGACTGGTTGGACATGAATCTTCACTCTTTCCTACTCTGAGCTAATCTTAGCATTTCTCTAAAACAAGAACATCCCACATCCTTAACTATTTGCGAATAATAATCTAACCTAGGTCTACCTCTACTCCTTGTATTGTGCACCTAGTACCTAGTAGTACTATTGATTGACTCTTTCATTAAGTGAATATTTTAGAGACACGCCTTTATAAGGAAATGGCATTAAATAAAATAAAAAATGTACATATCACTATGAAAAAAATTCACTGTTCAGAACCTCCCGCTAGATATAATTTATTATCATAAGGTCGTCAGTCCTAAGACTGGTTGGACACGCACCTCCACTCTTTCCTATCCTGAGCTAATCTTCGCATTTCCCTAAAACTAGAACAACCCATACCTTTAACTATTTAATATAATCCAGGTCTACCTCTACTCCTTGTATTGTGCACCTAGTACCTAGTAGTACTATTGATTGACTCTTTCATTAAGTGAATATTTTAGAGACACGCCTTTATAAGGAAATGGCATTAAATAAAATAAAAAATGTACATATCACTATAATACATGCAGTTGTTAGAAAAAAGACCGTCTTATAGATGAGAAAATATTGTTAAGTAGTGTCTTCATCATTATGAGGTTGTCAGTTCTAAGACTGGTTTGACACGCAACTCCACTCCTTCCTATCCTGAGCTAATCTTCGCATTTTCTTAAAACTAGAACAGCCCACATCCTTAAGTATTTGCGAACAGTAATGTAATCTAGGTCTACCTCTACTCTCCTTAACTCCTGTTTCTGCCTCTAATATGTCTCTGACTAGACCTTCATGCCCGAGAACGTGTCGTACCAACTTATCTCGCCTATTTTTTATTGACTCCCATATAGTCCTTCGTTCTCCTATTCTTTCTAATACCTCTTTATTTCTAACGTTATAGAGTAATCCATTTTTATTTTTTTAAATCGTTAATATTTGTATTACAAACGCTTATTTACTAAAATAAGGCAAAGTAAGTAAAATAGAAAATAAAGGTAATGCAAGAGAAATTTAAATTCTTTCCTTTTTACTGACTCTAAAACCTTTTATATTGCCCTCAATTTTCAATGAAAGTAATTCATTTCTTGTTTCTTCGCATGATATCATTTTTCAGATATTTAATTCTACCGTTAGCATTGAACTAAAATGTAAATTATACTCGCTGTCAATCAGCAATGACACTTCTGTAAACTTATGTAATAACGACACGCAGAGTTAATTTATAGTGAGATAATTTCGATTCTTCGATTTTTGCGGCTAGTTGTTAATTTGATCGTTTGTGTTCAAAAATGAAGGCGCAGAATGTCTCTGACACCGACTTCGGGACGAAATTTAATAATTTCATGAAAAAAACGAGTAGAGCAGAAGAAATCAAAAAGAGAGAAAGTTTGAGTTACGACAATGCACAAGCTTTAGACGAACATGACCAATTTTATAGGGACCATAAACTTCTTCTGCTTTTATTTCAGGTATGACTTTTTGTAATGGGTTTTTAATTATTTAATTAAAACGAGTAGGAAAACAGTCAATTCAAGGTACCTACTGCAAAATTTGTGCATGCTGTGGTTTTTTTAATTTTACAATTTCAAAAATGAAACATTTAATTTTTTAAATGTCTATTATAAGACACGTGTAAAAGTAATAAAAAATTGCTTATTAATAAAAGACAATATGTTCTATGAATTTATTATCATCGTATTGATATTATTAATTACTAGCTATATTTAATAAAATGTAGTTCTGAGTTTCGGTTATTGTTCACTGACTAATTGTGATAGTTATTAGTGATGGTATTAATTTTAATACTTGTAAATATTATCTAAATTGTACATATAAATACAGAAGCGGAATATTTTTAATAACTCTATCTACCTATTAACGAATTAGAATAAATCACTTTTTTCTCAAAATGGTTGAAACCCATTTGATTGAAATATGGGCACATTATATAGAGCGGTAAGAATATAAATGCCATACTCAAAATAAATAACAGCTTATAATCTTCATAGTAATCTTTAAAAATAAGTGATTTTTCTTTTTTTCAAAACAACAATAAAAATCAATTTTTTTACATAGAATATTATTTATGTCAATTTTTTCATCTGCGTATCAAAAGAAAATAATAAGGCTCATTTGATTAATTTATAGGTGTAAATAATATTAAATTTTGAGAATAATAAACTAATACTTTTGTTAAAATAGTACTCAAAAATTAATTATAAAGTATATTTAAATGTCAATAATTTCATTTAAAATATTCTTTTGCATTTTAAAGGAATATTTATCAATATACTTTTTTTCGATTATCACTTTGTTTGACAACTATAACATAACGCTGTTGTGTAGTGCCTTTTTTAGAACTCTTTCTAAATTGCAGTTTAGCTACTTAAAAACTGAAAATTGTTTCCAACTAAATAAATATATTAGCAAATAATTCAAAAGGATATATTTCGAATCAAATTATTAACACTTAAATACAGCATATATAATTAATTCTTCAATATTTTAGTGGGTTTTTAAATAAAAATTTAAAACTTTATCGTTAAATTTTAAAGTGTTATCTAACGATCATTATAAAAGTTATGAGTTGTTTTTTTTTTAAATTATCTATAATCTCTATAGTGTATAAATTTCATTCAAATCAGTTTAATCGTGTTTGAGAAAAATGATGTAATTTTTCTTTTTTTTTTTGTTTGATTTATTCAGAAACCAAAATAAATGTAGGGTGTAACAGAAATTAGTGCAGAATACTTTTTAGAGTGTAAACTAGATGAAATAAGCAATCGCACGGCGAATTTAGTAGCGTGGTTAAGTACAAAAAATATTTTTGAGAAAATCAAAATAATTTACAATCCGAAGCCGGTCCTGTGCGTGAATTGGTAACATATGTGTCTGCCGAATAGCGTAGTGCCATAATAATTCAGCAGCTCCATGGATGGAGAATATAAACCGGCTGTTAATATAAACATCCTAAATCACACGTATTGATTACACCTAATCTAATCTAACAAATAAAAAATACATGAACAAAAAATACACAACAAATACTACACTGATGCAGGTAACCACTAGCTAATTGAATGCAACTTTGCGAGCCGTTTTTCTTTAGGTACCAGGGTCGGAATTGAATTTACATTAACCTTCAATTACGTTTTTCTCAAAAATGGTCAACTTTCAGACATATAAACTTTTCCTTAATTTTTATAGTGCTTTATCATCTCTGCAAGATCGGCACTGATTTTTGTTCCACCCTATAGAGATCTAAAGCATGAATGATTAATGGACTTCAATTATACTAACACACTCAGAAAAACAATGGAGTTTCATGTGAATTAAAAGAAAACCCTGGCAATATACTTTAAAATAATAAAATAGCTTTCAATATAGGTTTTAGGAGTGATGCCTATTGAAAGAGGTAGACTCGGTGAAATTACTTTCAGTTGGACCAGCATACCGTCAATTTATGCCTATTGTTTTTATGCTGTTACAACAGTCCTTGTAGTGTTTGTTGGAAGAGAACGCCTGGATATTTTGACGAATCAAAGTAGAAAATTTGACGAATACATTTACGCAATTTTGTTTGTTGTATTCTTAATTCCGCATTTCTGGATACCGTACGTTGGTTGGGGTGTAGCAACCGAAGTGTGCGATTATAAGAATAGCTGGACGAGATTTCAACTGGACTATTTCAAAATAACAGGTGATTACCCGCAAAATAATGAGTTTACGATATACTTGCAAGAACGTGGAATGAATTAGTGATTTCGAGAGTAGGGTAAAATCTGTTAATTATTATTGCTCTTAAAAATACGAATCCATAAGGTTTTCCTACGGGTTTTTTATCATTGTGCAGATTTTTTATTTGAGTCATATCACCTAAAATTCATAAAGTACCTAGTAGCCGTTGGAAGAGTATTTAAGTTAGTCCGTCAAGATATTTTCGACTATTGCAAAATCGGAACGCTACCTCTGAAGTTAGTTCGCAGTGAAATCTATTTGAAGGATATATTTAGGATCACAAAGTGGCGGAAGGAAAAATCAACACGAACGAAATGAGTGTTTTCACGCTAGCAAGGTCATGTCCGTCCATTTGATTGATAGTCAATATAGAAGTTGCCTGCAATATTGTTTTATTTCTAAGACTCCTAGGTCTTTGATAACCAAGGTTTTGTTGGTAGCATTGCAATATTTGAACCTAAATTCAAAGAAAGTGTCGCAAATTACACTTTTAAAGTGAAACTTCTTTACGCATGGTAGGACAAGTTCGTTTCATGCGAGTTGATATGTAACAAAATCATGCAACGAATGTTCCCCCTCTACTCGGCCACGTAGTCGAGTTCGTAGTGGGGATCGCTTGAGCTGTGAGCGCGCTCCAATGGAACGTTCGTTACAGGCAACTCCGGCATGTTTAGTTTAAAATTTAAATTCATAGTGTACAAATAATAAGATTAAGCCACCCTAGACAAAAATTTTCGGTCTTTCAGAGTCTTTCATCGTCTCTGTGAGTGTCTCTCACAGTCTTTTACAATCTCTCAGTTATTGTCTAGGTGTTTTTATGGATCTCTCACAGTCTCTGTATGAGAGACTCGAACGATAAAATTGTTAATTCAGAGATTCGAGTCTCTCACAGAGAGACTGAATGGATAAAACTGAAAAACTGAGAGACTCGAGTCTCGCTTTCAGAGACTCTGAGAGACTGAACATTTTTATCTCGGGCAATTCCTTAACCCCTATCCCGGTATGTTTGTGTGTTTGAAGAAGTTTCACTTCAGTAGCGTGTTGTATAATTACACGTTGTATTTCAAAATAGTAATTACTCGCTTTATTGTACTAAACGGTCAAGGAAACCTTTAGCCGTAGGTACATTATTATTTACCTTGAGACTTCTACCTATTTCGGACTATTAACTATAAAAGTATAAATTATAGTCCAGCATAAGAAAAAAGCTAATTCGACGACTATCTATATTGTCATAAGTTAATTTTGCACTTCGCGTAAGCTGTGAAATAATACGGGGTTGTATAATGGAATATGGGAATATTTGCAGGTCGAAATTTGCAATTCCCCCATTTGAATACACTGATTGTGGCTATCAGTTCTGGATGTTTGGTGTTAGCCGTTGTGTTTCTACTAAGCTTGAGTATGCTTTTGGAAGGATTTACTTTATACCATACGAGTGCTTATTTGCATATAATAACAATGATTAACATGAACGGCGCATTACTTTATATCAATTGCAGGGCTATTGGAAATGCAAGTAAAGCTGTTGCAGACAGTTTCGATCAGGTATATGAAACTTTTATATGTGAACTAATAGCTAATTAAATATACAGGGTGTTTTACAAGATACCTTTATATATCGATATTATATACCTGTTATTAAAAGTAACGTAACTGATAATATCCACATACACGAGGTCTATTCATAAAGTATCGCGAATTTTGTGTTCTTTCAAGAATTATTTATTTATTCATGAATATCTATTTTGTTCCCTTCAATGTAATAATCCCCACCAGATATTATACACTTGTGCCAACGTTTTTACCAATTCTCGAAGCACTTCAAAAAATCATCTCTTGTGATCCTGTTCAGCTCCTCCTTCGATGCCGTCTTGATCTCCTTAATCGTAGCGTAGAGTCGTCCTTTCATGGGCCTCTTCAGTTTCGGGAACAATAAAAAGTCACAGGGGGGCAGATTTGGGGAATACGGTGTCTGCGGCATTATTAGTGTGTTGTTTTTGGCCAAAAATTCGTGCACAAGCAACGATGTGTGAGCAGGGGCGTTATCATGATGCAAAAGACAATTTTTGTTCTTCCACAAATCCGGGCGTTTCTGTAAGATTGCTTCGCGCAAATTGCGCATAACTTGCAGGTAATATTCCTTACTGACCGTTCTACCCTGTGACAAGAACTCATGATGCACCACGCTCATGCAATCGAAGAAAACTTTAAGCAAAATGTTCACATTCACCCTAACTTGGCGCGCTTTCTTCGGTCTTAGCTAGAGTGGTTGCTTCCACTGGGATGATTGAACTTTGGTTTTACACGTCATTACAATAAACCCATGATTCGTCACCAGTTATGACCCTCGGGACAAAATTTGTGTTGTCGCGGACAGAGTCCAACATCTCCTTAGCAGTATTAATGCGATGGTGTTTTTGATCGAATTTGGGCAATTTTGGTACGAATTTCGTGGCGATTCGTCTTATGCCCAAATCGCCAATCGATCCTCCGGAAGTTCTCTAACGGTGATTCGACGATTGCTCTATACTATTTTCTTCACTTCCTCAATGTTTTCGTCTGTTGTTGACGTGTTCGGGCGTCCGGCACGCTTTTCGTCGTTTGTATCTTCTCGACCCTCTGAGAACATTTTATACCACCGATAAACGTTGCTTCGGTCCAAGGAAGCTTCACCATATACCACAGTTAACATTCGCAATGCGTCCGCGCACTAAATTTTGTTTTTCGCACAAAATTTGATACAGATTCTTTGACCTATTTTTTGGAATAGACAAAAATCGAAGACGAGTCAAAACACGTGCAAGCAAAGCAGCCTTCAAAAATTAATTGAACATTCAACATAGCCGAACTTGTCGGTATAAGTGAGACCAACATAACGCCACAAAAATCTTAATTGGAAATCGAATATACGTAACATGCGGAAAATTCGCGATACTTTTTGAACAGACCTCGTATACCTACTTTTAATACTAATTTGGAATTGCTTATTAATATTACTATATTTTAACGATTACCGTCAACTATGTGTCAGGCCGATTAATTTTAGGTCTGCCTTCGTACATATCGAATTAAAATTCTCAATATTCAATGTTCGTTAATAGAGAGCTTGAGACGATTCTTCGCATAATATACAATATAATGCATAATGTCATGAGTGTATCAAATGATAGGTATGTAGGTACATGTGTCTATATGTACAGAAAATTCAAAAAGAACGAGAAAGTTCACTGTGGCACTGTCCACATGACCAAAAGTACAAACGTTTGGAGTAAAATCATTGACTTACAATTTAGACTCGCGTATCAAAGCATCAGAAGCCTCTATTTAAATTAGTTTTAATAAAAACCGATTGTAAGAAATTTAAATTTGCAGGATATGGAGGGTGATGTGACAACAACTCTTGTTGCACTATATAAAAAACTCTGGATGAGTTTAAGTGAACTGCTTCAAAAACTTGGCAGTGCATATTCGAGAACGTATTCAACTTTATCTCTGTTTTTACTTACTAATGTTACTATTGCAGTAAGTTCTACCTATTTCTTTTTCGTATTATTAGTTTTGCACACCAACGTTAAATTTAAAACGTAACTCAACTAGCGTTTAATGTGTTATAGTTTTCTTAAGTCACCTACATTATCGCAACAAAAAAACGAAAAACTACATGTTATATTATTCAACCATTCAAACAATAACAAATGATGAAACAATAAAAATTCAGTTCGCTGCATCTGTGAAAAATATAAATAAATTTAACTACAGAAATCCAATTATGAATTTAATTTTCAAGATTACCTTAAAGATAAATAAAATTTCTTCATCATTTTCCATTTCTTGTGAATAAGCTTAATGATAGTTTTCATCATCATCATCATAAGGTCGTCAGTCCTAAGACTGGTTGGACACGCACTTCCACTCTTTCCTATCCTGAGCTAATCTTCGCATTTCCCTAAAACTAGAACAACCCATACCTTTAACTATTTGCGAACAGTAATCTAATCTAGGTCTAGCTGTACCCCTCCTAACTTCCGTTGCTGCTTTTAATATGTCTCTAACTAGACCTTCATGTCTGAGAAGGTGTCCTATCTTGCTTATTTCTTATTGACTTCCATAGAGTCCTCTGTTCTCCTACTCTTTCCAATACCTCTTCATTTCTAATATTCTCTACCCACGTTATCCTCATCATTCGCATGTAACACCACATTTCGAACGTTTCTAATATTTTCTATTCCGCCCCGCCCACTGTCCATGTTTTGCACCCGTACAGCACCGTGTTCCAAACATACACCTTTGACAACCTTTTTCGAATTTCTGAATCGTTCGCGAGTATAGAAGTGACTTCTTTTTCCTCTGGTTTATATCCCTACTACTCCTTCCGTCCTGACTTATCTGACTTCCTAGATACCTAAAATCGGCCACTTCTTCTAATTTTTCGTCTCCTATCTGTATATTCGCTCTTTCCCTATTTTGTCTTGCCTTGCATACCAGTATTTTTGTTTTACTTTTATTTATTTTCATACAGTATTATTTTGTCAATACCGCTTCTAATTTATTTAAAGTTATAATGATAGTTTTGGTTTATGAAAATTAAATAGCTACAATTTTATTAATATTGAGTTCAGTCAAAAGTTTTCTTTTATTATTTATAAACATAATAGATTTAATTGCTCTGCTACTGTTCATTATTATTACCAGAAACGGAAAAAATTACTGTGGGTAAATAAATCAATCTTTACTTTACTGTTCGTAAATGTGACATACCTACCGAAGATTGAAAATATTTATATTACGATATCCTGCTAACAAGATATCGTATGTAGAAAATCATATGTAGTAAAAAAATGCAGACGTTTTTCAAATAATATAAAATAACTTTAATACTTCCGCATCACGCTGGGCCGATTTTGTTCAAAACCTTATCAGTTTTAAGTTACGTGATTATGTGTCGAATGCAATTGGTCCCACGTTCGTTATCGAGATAATCGCACATACGCACATACACACATCCACCTGAAAACTGTAGCATCCGACTCCAAGGACTTTGAAACGTCGATTCACAAAATCGGAAAGATTTAGCTACTAAACGATGTTTTGTGAATTTGTTATTTTCCACATTATATTACATTTTGTTTTTGTACAGCAACTTAAATGATGTAGGCATATGGATTCACCAGCGAGGTAATCGACCACGGTTTTACATTTACATTTAAGGAAATGGGTTTGCTGGTTGATTTTGCGTATTCCATGGGTTTACTATTCACAATTTGCGATTGTTCTCATAAAGCATCCGAATACATTGCCAAACGTGTACAAACGACATTATTAAATATTC